ATTTCCCTGCCATAATTAGCAGAAACACTGGAGTCAGACAGACCTGTGTTTGAATCCTGGATCTAGTTCTGTGACTGTGGGTGAGCCATGTAATTCCTCTGACCCTGTGTCTTCATCTGTAAAATGGGAACGTGCAGAGTACCTACTGGACAGGTTGTTCTGAGGATCACACATAATGACGTATGTGATGCACTAGCCCAGGCTCTGGCCTACTCCATAAATGGGACTGCTATTCTCTGTTTCTTTCCTGGCTGACCACTTCAGTTATCCATCAAACATCCTGAATGAATGAACTTCATTTTCTAAAAATATATGGCACCTGCAAGGCCCACTGTAGCCCACCCCCCGCTCCTGATACTCCATTGTTTAGAGTGACCATTATTTTGTGACCTGTGTTTTCTCTTGCAAACTGTCCAGATTTTTGACAGACGGGGCAAGGTGTGGGCATGAAGTCCGGATGGAGCCCACTGAGGGCTGCCCCTCTAGCCAGCATACAGCGCTCTTCCTGCCCCGTGTGTGGGTGTTAGAGGTAAAGGCCAGTGTCCCAACAGGCACAGCCTGGGGCCCCTCACATCTGTGACTCTGGCGCCAGCACAGTGCCCGGCACTTTAGAAGAGTCTGGAATGAATGAATGAATGAATGAATGAATGAATGAATGAATGACAAGAGATCAATTCAACCAAATCAAGTGCAATGAGATTCATCACCAAGGCCATCAGAAATCGCCGGGATTCTGATTTGAACTGTAAAAGGACTGGGGGATGTGGAGTACCTTGGCATCCTCAGCCGTCCCACAGAAGGAAGGATGGGGTCAAGGGAGGGGTGAGTGTGGAGTTAGTTTTCTATGTGGTGAGGGTAAGGAGCCCTTGGCCCACACAGAGTAGACTAGCTCCCAGGCAGAGTTTGAGGGAGAGAGACCCCTGACTGTTGACCAGCTGCTGAGCAAGTGGGCTTCTGACCACAGGCCCACTGGATTTCCCTGAGCTTCAGCAGAGCATCTCTGGGACCTCGACTGTTCTTGGCAATCTAAAGGCCACACAAAGTTTCTGGCCAGAGCCAGACAGGGACAGAGATGTAAAGGGGAAGTGACAGATGTCCCACGCAAGTGATTCCCCCAAGCCAAAGGCAGCAGGGGACAAGCACCCTCTCCCTCTCAGGATTCTGAAGGGTCAAAAGACATTCCCACAGGGAATGATGAGTTCGGTTCCCCCCGAAAACTGCCTCCTCGGTCCCGAGGAAAACCCGACCCCTGGAGGGAGGCTGGCTCGCTGGCCCATTTCCTCCTCTGCTTGGGCCAGGCCCCCATCAGCTGCTCTTGCTGGTCCGGAGGGAGGGCCCCCCCGGAGGGTGAGAAGGGCAGTGCTGGGGCCCAGCATGGCTGAGATGCCACTCCCAGCAAGGCTCCGTCTCGGGCACAACCATGACAAGCAAAGGCATGGCTAGGCTGACGCTTACATAGTACATTCTCATTCCAAACCCCTTCGCTGTTCTTCCTCAGGAAGCTTCCTGTTGCAAGATAACTGTTCTGCTTGTGATCAAACAGATTTATATTTATTTACTTTCCTTTCCTCCCAAGCTTGAGCCAGCCCAGACAGGTCAAAGAGCAGGATTCCAAGCAGCCAAGATGGTCTCTGGAGAAGTCTGGAATTTCCCTGTAGACACAGTGTGGCCGAAAAGAAGCAGGGTCACCTGGAAACCTGGACAGGGGGTTGCCAGCACCCTGGGACCCCTTAGCAAGTGGGGCGCCTCTCAGGGTGGGCAGGGGCCTCCAGCTGTTTTGGGAACCTGACCACCCATTTCCGAATCTCTGTTTTCAAGAAGCCCGAGGGTCTTACGTCCCCAGAGCATGAACCAATCCTAGAGACACTTACAACCCAAATCCACTTTCCTTCAGAACGGTGCCCAGGCTGGGGTAAGGAAAGGCGATCTGTGCGGGGTCAGTGGGTGCTTTTGCTATGCTGCAACTGGGCCTTTAGAACTGACTACAGGTCTCTTATGTGACTTCTCACAGACGTTCTACGAAGTTCCTGACAAGCCCTTATCAGATGCTGCCAGGACACAGGGGCTTCCACAGAGATGCACGTGCTGGCAACTGAAGACTGTTCCAAACTCAAGCTCACAAAATAATTTATTTTGCCAGTTTAGTTGCAAAACTTCCTAAAAACACTGCACTCAGCTTATAAGCAGCAAATAAACTGCACATCACTTGATACCCCAAGGACTACCAGACATGGACTGTGACAGTCACCTTCAGGCCTGCTAGGGACGGTGGGGCAGGTTTCCCTACACTAACATACCCCGAGGGTCATGCTTTCCATTCTTGCTGCCATTAGCTTTTTATAGTTTTGCGACCTGCCCCTTTGTCAACCTGTCACCCTGTCACCCCACAGCCATTTCTCCACCACTTCCAGGAGAGAAGCAGGAATGTGGGACATGGGGGAGCGGCTGAGGGCGCCAGGAAGAAGGTGAGGGGCTGTGATTCTGCCCTTTGTCTTCCACCCTAGTGCGTGTGACTTCTTTACCACTCACCCTGGCTCCTCATCTGAAATTCAGGAAATTAGAAAAGAAAAGAAAATTCTGCAAGGCTCTCAGGCTTTGTAACTCCCATGAAATGCTCTAGAGCGATCTCAAACTCAGCACAACTCAAAAGATAACACTGTGCTTATCTGTTTAGCTGCCTTCCTCCTGTTGGAAAATCCCACTCCAAAGGGCAGGGACTGTGTTGGATGCATGTTCCAGGGCCTGGCAGGTAGCTGGCCTGTGGTCCCATGAGGGTGGGCACACAATGGACTGAGCACTCAAGACCTGATTCTCTCCAGTTGTGAACCTCTCCTCTGTTTCTGCAGCTGGGATGCAAGTTCCCTGGGAGTGAGTGATAGATCTTTTCTTCATGGGATCTCCAAGCAGGGCTGATGGTTAGTCAGGAGGCATTGGTATGCCCAGGCCAGTGGTTAAAGTGTTGAAATACTTCTGTGCAGTTGCTGCCTGGGCCCCGGAGACCCCCACCCCCAGATTCCCAGCATCTCCTCCAGGGCCCCCACCCCGCCATCTGGCTGCTAAAAGGTGATGCCTGGCCGGGCAGGGCCTCCGTGGCTCTGCTCCAGCTCCAGCCTTTGGATTGCTCGTTACATCTCCGAATGATGGACCAGCCTGATGCAGATGATGGGGACATAGCAGACGCCTGGTAAGTGCTCTTACCGGAGAACTGCTATATGTGGGTGCTGGTCTCATAGCGGACGGAGGGAGCTCGCAGCCAGGAAGTGGGCGGTGTCTGCTGCCTGACCTTGAGAAGACACGAGTATGGGATCCCCAGCTGGACAGGCCTCTATATCGCCAGGTGAAGGAAAATACAGACTTGCTGTCCTTGCTGCCCCCATCCCTGTCCATCCATCCATCCATCTGCCCATCCATCCACTGTTTGGGTACCACACTCCGGGGACATCAGCTCCAGTAAGGCCAGAGAGGTCTCGCAGTACAAGGAGGCGTGCTGGAGGATGGGCGGGGGATGGGAGAGCAGGAAGGGGGCAGACTTGGTGCTGGGGTCCCTACCCTCTGACTGACTAGCCAGGGGACCACACCTCCCAGAGCCTGTATTTCCTCTTCTGTACAAGGGAGAGTTAAAACCTGCTTTCCAACTTCTTGTGAGGACAGGCGAGTCTAACACAGAGTGTGACCCAGTACCCACAGGTGGGGCATGCCCTCCTGATGGAATCTTACTCTAACAAATCAAGACTTGGAAAAGGATCGAACAATACACAAGTATGTTCAGTTTGTGAAGACGCACCAAACTATACACTTAAGTATGCTATTCTGTCTGTAAAGTGTATGTCGATAAAAAATTCAACCGCCAAGGCATCGGGAGAAAAAAGTTGAGATGCTCAAAAAACATGGCTGAGCTACATCTAAGATTTTAGTCCTAGAGAAAGTTCCTCAGATAGGTCACTTTCAACTCTGAATTTCTTCTTTCGGCACGTGAGTGTGAGGGTATAAAAACAGTCCTGGATAGACTTTTCTCCCTGAAGCACGTGTTTAACGGGTACATTTCAGCAACAGCAGAGCTGGGAAAACCCAGTCTGTGAGGATGAGCAGAGCGATGGTAATGAGAGGAGCCAGGGGCTGGCAGAGCGAACACGGAGTCAGATGGGTGGGTGACACAGAGATCGATGCGGGCCTGGGAGGGAAGGAGGGTAAGGGAGAGTGGGAGGTCCTCCGCACGCACTCAGAGGTGGGCCCCGGCTAATTGGATCTAACGATTGATCGTTTTACTTCTGATCCAGGAAGCGAGACTGACCTTGAAGGTTCGGACACGTGTGTTTAGGCCACAGTGAAGTGGACAGCTGCGATCCCAGCCACGGTGGAATTTCTAGTGTTTCAGTGGGGCAGGGCGGGCAGCGTGGGGAGCCGGTTTCCAGGCCTTTATAGTTTACAAGGACAAGGACGAGGGCCTGGAGGACTTTCTGTTTCACAGCTGCTTCTCCCCTTCAGAATGTTCGTGTTCTTCCCATCTTGGCCAGGCTTCAGACGGGGCTCCGGGGCTGGCATGTGGCGATGCAGGGAGTCCCCGCGTTCACCAAAGACAGCTTGTTCCTGTGAGCTTATCCGCAACTCGCTGTGTGTGTCCCACGCAAACAATGCCCTACAGAGCGCTGAGAGTGTCTCGCAGGCCCACCAAGTCTGTGAAGTCCGTCCTTCTCCCGGGGAGGTCCTAACAGCTCCAGCGACACAGCACCATGTTGCCCGGCGCAAACACTCTGGGTCTTTACTTCTCGTTCAGTGGGCGGGGGCAGGTGGGCTGGCCTGTGTCAGCCAGGGTTCCTGCAGCATCTACCCGCGGAGCTGCTGCTCTGGGCCGGGTCCGCACTTGGAGACCCCCTACCTCAAGGGTCTCAGTTGGGGGCAGCACTCAGGACAGGCGCCAAATACCTACACCCAAGACCAAAGTGGCCCCATGAGGAGAGGGTGTGCTGAGTCAAAGGGGACTCCAAGGGAGGGGTGGCATGCGACACGTGGGGTGGAAGCAGGGCACTGAATAAAGAGGGCGCGGGCGGGGGGGACTCGGAGGATGGGCTGGGCTTGGAGAGGCAGGGGTGGGGAGGGTCTTCCAGGCCAAGGCCCAGCGTAAGCAAAGGTGTCATGGGGGGCAAGGCAGATACAAGGCCAGGGCAAGGCCTGAGCTGTGTAAGGAGACCACTAGGCAGCCGAGCAGCGCGGGCACAGGGGGATGAATGCCAGGAGGCTCACAGGACACTCCATGTTCCCAAAGCCTGGACAGCCCGGGGATGGCAACGGGTGGAATCCCTTCCAGACACACTTCTCTTTGCAGCTCCTCCCCAGGCTTCCTTCTCTCGGGGGGGAGCGGCCCAGAGCCAGGCCAGGCCGCCCCTGTGTGTGCGGGGAATGCAGAGGGGGGTCCAGGAGACAGAAAGACTCTTCCCCGCCTCCGCGGAGAGGAAGACTGAGTCCACAGCAGCACCTCACGCTGCCCTCCCGCCTGAGGCCTCGGAGAAGCCTCGGCGAGAGAGGGCTCCCCCCATCCTGGGCAAAATCTTCAGAGCCATGGTTCACCCCACCGACAGCAGCACGCAACAGCACGCAACAGCCCTCCGCTCCCGGCAGAGCTGAGCCGTCCCGCCTGATGCGCTTCCCCAGGGCAGTCAGAATCCAGAGCAGCCAGCCAATCCCCCCGCAGGCTCATTCCTCTGGGTACCAGACGGGAGGGATGGAAAGAGGTCTCCTTAAAGCAAAGAGGAATGAGAGCTGGAGACCACTCAGCTGTGGCAGCCGCGGCCTGCTGGTCCCAGTATCTGGCCCCCTCTGTTCCATGGGCCACTCAGAATAGAAACTACATGTCAGAGCATTTCTTGCAGTAGATACGGCCATGTGACTAATGTCTAGTCAACAGGTGAGTGCCACTTCAAAGACATTTTCTTAAAGGGAATGGATGTGCCTGCCTTTCTCCTTCCCTTTTCCTCCTGCCTGGTGGCTAGAATGTGGATACAATGGCTGGAACTGGAGCAGCCATATTGGACCATGAGGTAATCTTGGGATTGAAGCTATATAGAAAAGCAACAAGACAGAAGGATACCACGGCTCTTTGACCCCATGAAGCTGCTCTGCCAGCCCTAGGCCACCTACCTCTCGATGTATCTATGAAAAGAAGTGGCCTTGTATTTTGTTGAGGCCATTTGCTATATTGAATCTCTCTGGTACTAACAGTCAAACTTATTACTAAATATTACACCATTTTTCAAGGTGTAAGTCCAACCTCCTCCAAGAAACGTGCCTGGAACTCCACAGTCAGAACCAACCTCTCCTCCTATACCGTTGTCCTAACATCAGTCATTTTGAATAGGAAAGCACAGTCACTGTCCTTTCACATGTATGAATTTATTCATTCCCTGTGTTCTGTGCACCAACCCTAGGTAGGTATTATTGTCAGCAGGCCACAGGTGGCTCAGAGGGGTAAGTGGTTTTCTGGTTGGGCAACACTCTTCAGTTGAAGAGCCTGTGTCCCCCTCCCCTCCCCTCCCGCCCTCCCTGGAGCTCCTCTGTGGCCCAGCAGAGGCTGATTCAACTCTGATTTCCTCCAGGGTGGAGGGCCCCACCCACAGCAGGCTCTCGGAAAATTTGTACCGAATTGATTTGTTGTAAATGCAGCAAGTTCTCTTCCATCCAAAGATATTGATTTCTTCTTAACAGCAATTCTCCGTTCGACATTCTCCAAGAAAGGGATGAAAACTATAAGGAAAGCAAAGAGCTTGGTCCTTCCGGGTGCATCCGTGGCCTGCAGAGGCCAGGTGGCAAAGGCTTGGCAGAGGGGCCTGCCCCCTCCCCCCTCCTCCCCCCACCCCTCCACCCCCGCCTCCCTGCCCAGGGCTGAGCTTCTGCAAGAGTTGCAGCTGGGACAGCAAAGTGTCAGAGGAGGGACCTCTGAAGCCAGGGGCTCGAAGAGGATCCCACCCAGCTCCCCGCCTGGGGTGGGGGACATGAGGAGCCCAAGAACAGCAAAGAAAGGAGCCGTTTCCAGAGCCAGACTGTTTTTGCAAGTATGACTTCATAAAAGCTCACAGCGTTCCCCCAGGTTGGGCGGCAGGCAATTTCATCTTTCAATGGGGATAAAGAGCTGAGGAAGGAGAAAGAAAATGAAATCTTGCTGCCCTGCTACAAGGAAAAACCACTGCCCCAGATTTGCAATGACCCTACACGGGGACGGACCCAGGATTCTACTTCATGATGGAAATAGCTGTGCTCATCCCCCACATCCAACAACCGCTCTGCACTGGGTTCAAAGGCCATCAAGTCCATCCTGCCCAACAACATTTTGAGGATTGGGGCAGGCCTTGCCCCTTTCAGCAGAGGAGGAACTGGAAACCCAGCGGGGAAGTGACTTGCCCAGGGTCACACAGCACCAAAGCTAGAGCTCAGACGTCCCTCTCACTGCCTGCACCTCCTTCAGGGGATCTTGCACATGAATCTGGGCAGAGCCGTCAACATCCTCTGCTCACCAGCCCGCAAAACCCTGGTGCTACCTCCTGCTGGACCCCCCCAAAAAAAACAGGGGACAGGAGAGGGTGGTGCTGGACTGAGCCCAGCCAGCTCTGCCCCTGTGAATGGGAGCCTGGACCCCACAAATCACCCCAGGCCCATGAAGTACTACAGCCCGGAGGGTCTGGTAGAAAGTGAGAATACTGAGGCCCACTGAAGGGATGGGACTCACCTAAGGTCACACAGCAAGGACAGTGGGAAACTCAGGGGTACAGTTGCTTCTTCATGTTGGCAATGGAGGAGGGGCATTGTCTGCACTAGACACCCCTTTTCAGGCACAGATGTAAACTGGGAATTTGGGCCCCTCTTCTGGCACACTCCTGTTGACAAGGAGCCACTTAGGAGACCGGCTTCCCTGGGGAGACAGTACTATGCTCCCTACTCGGCTACTCCCCCGCCCTCCCCTGGAAAGTCCTAGCTATCTCCTCAAGACCCTACCCAGATGCCACTTTCTCCAAGGGGCTGCCACTCAGCCTCCGTCCCCCACGCTCCTCCACTACCTGGGACACCCTGTCTGCGCCTTGCATGGCCCTTGTTTGTATCACATAGAATCACTGACCCAGGTCTTAGCCCTCTGGCTCTTGGGTGCTCCGCAGGGCATGACCCCCAATGACCCCCATGCCTGGGTCCCCCAGGTTCCTTGGGTCGAGCGAGGGAAGTCACAGTGGCTCCCTGGTGGAATGAGGTGAGCCAGGGCTGTGGGACGCTGGGCCAGACTCTGCTCAGTGCCCGTGGTCGCGTGCTCTGGGCCTGGGCGGCAGGCCCTAGGAGGGCAGTCTTGAAGTCCGGAGGAATGGGGAGGGCAGGCCAGCCTCCCAGCGGTGCTCAAGGCCAGGCCATTCCCTGAGAGGTTTGCCAGACCGAGGGAAAGGGTCCATGAAAAACCCCAGGGTCAGCATTCCAGGGACTGTAGCTGCAGCCCCTCCCTTTTTTAAATTTTACGTATTTGAGAGAGAGAGTCCGTGTGCATGATGGGGGGAGGGGCAGAGGGAGAGAGAGAAGCAGACTCACCGCTAAGCAGGGAGCCCAAGGACACGGGCTTGATGAGGGACTCGATCCCAGGGTCCCCAGATCATGACCTGAGCCGAAGGTGGACGCTCAACCGACTGAGCCACCCAGGCGCCCCTAGCTGCAGCCCAGTGGGGAAGGCTTCAGATGCCCTAGGAAAGGCCCTTCCACCCCATTCTTCCAAGGAGAGGTGCCAGCCAGACCCCATTACCCCCACATGGGCCTTCCTGAGCTGCCCTGGAATTTGTCCCGGGGTGGCGGGCTTTGCCCCAGTGGCCACCACCTTGTCTGGTCACACTGAGTAGTGTCCAGGCACTGAGCAGTGGAATGCCCTCCCCAAAACCTATGGCCCCTCTGGGCTCCCACCTGCCCACTACTCTTGATAGATATATGTGTGTAATTTAAATAAAGAGTATAATAAAGCCAACCACAATGAGTAATGTTAAAACTAATGAGGGCCATACGTCAAAAGGAGCATTTTCCCTCTTGTGTCTTCAAGGAGTCACTGTCCATGTGAGGGCCAGAGGGCTGGCCACTCAGCAATCCGGGAACTGGAGAGCCAACCTGGGGCGGGCACCCCCCCCAACCCTCCCCCTCAGCCCTTCTCTGCCCTCCCAGATGATTCCAAATGCAAGTTTAAAAGGCTGTGAAAATGCTTGAAATGCTGGGCCACGCCACCTAGATTAAAGAGGTTGTTGATTGGGCGCCTGGGTGGCTCAGTTGGTTGAGCGGCTGCCTTCGGCTCAGGTCATGATCCTGGAGTCTCAGGATCGAGTCCCGCATCGGGCTCCCTGCTCGGCGGGGAGTCTGCTTCTCCCTCTGACCTTCCTCCTTCTCATGCTCTCTGTCTCTCATTCTCTCTCTCTCAAATAAATAAATAAAATCTTTAAAAAAAGAGGTTGTTGATTAAATTTTATATTATCTTCCACCCACAGCTTCCTCAAAGGTGGCTCCCAGGACCACAGCATCTAAATGCCTTTGAACATGAACTTTACTCCTTAGGTTTCCCCTTCATGGTGTTTCAGCAGGATTTCTGCAACAGCATCCTTACCACTCGGCCCTCCCCAGCCCTGCACCCCTTTAGGAACCACCTCCCCTGCCACCAGAGAGACCTTTCTGAAATTCTAGTGGGGCCTTCACTCCTCGCCAGACCCTCCCGTGGCTCTCCTGGCCTCCGGAGCAGACTCTCAGCCCCCATTACACAGCAGGATGAGCTGGGAACTGAACAACACATCCTTGCTGGAGCCCCGCCCAGACCAAATCAATCAGAATTTGGCGGAAGGACACTGGTCCTCTTTTTAAAAGCCCCTAGGTAATTCAAACAGGCAACCTGGGTCTAGAGCCACTGGTCTCAAGGGTAAAGTAGAGGGAAAGCTCCTCTACAGCTGAACGCCAGCTAACAAATCCAGAAGGAATTGGAGGAGTCGATCACCATTTGCCACTGGTGATAGATCTGACACCAGCCCAGCAAGTCAACGGAGGCTACAAGCACTGGGGGAGAGGCCGTGGGAGAACAGGACATTCGCACAGTCCCCACACATTAATTATTATTTACAAAGGGGAAAGGAGACCTTTCCATTAGAGCGAGTTGGCTGATTCACCTTAACTAAGTTATTCAAGTCAGCACCACCCAATGTGGGACCCGCTCACATCACTTGCCTCCAGACGTGATACGAAGGTAAGGACACGACACCAGCTATGTTCGCGTGGATCTAACTGGAGGAATCCAGACCGTGGGCCTCCTACCAAAACAGCGGGCCCGGAAGGTGGTGAGTTCAAGGAGCAGGGCCTCGCACCGGCACCCAGGACCGCGGTGTAAGCCCTGGGAGCGTGCAGAAGCCACAGGGTGCGGGCCAGGGGAGGCAGGGCAGCTGACTTCAGAGCTCTTCCGGGATGCCCTGGTTCCCTCAAAAAGGGCGTCTTAGGGACGCCTGGGTGGCTCAGCTGGTTAAGCGTCTGCCTTCGGCTCAGGTCATGATCCCAGGGTCCTGGGATCGAGCCCCGCGTCGGGCTCCCTGCTGGGCGGGGAGTCTGCTTCTCCCTCTCCCACTCCCCCTGCTTGTGTTCCTGTGCTCGCTATCTCTCTCTCTCTCTCTGTCAAATAAATAAATAAAATCTTTAAAAAAAAAAAAAAAGGTGTCTTAGAGGCCTCCAAGAGGAGTGGTTAGGCTGTGGGGTTCTGGGTCTGGGCCAGCCTGCCCTCAGGGACAGGCGTGGACCCCAAGGCTGCTGGATGAACTTGAGCAGCCAACCCAAAGCACGCCAAAGCTCCACACATGTCCTCCAACCCACTTGCCCACCCCAGCTGTTGGCTAGCCGAGGAAGATGAAACTGACCTAGAAGCTTTCTAAAGTGGCCCTTTGTTCCCATCCCCATGTGCCTTCCCCCCAAAATTCTGACGTCCGGGATTTGGGAAGAGGAAAATCTGATGCACTCACATTCAGGTCAGCCAGCATTGGGCCTTCACAAGCTTTGTGTTTTGCTCACATTCTTTTGGTCTCCTCAGATCTCTTTCTTATGCTGCCTTTATAATTATTCCCTGCATGGAAACACTATAAGGGCTAGATAGGTACTTTCCTTACATAGGAGAGGGTATGCTCGGACCCATGTCCTGGCTGAGGACAGAGTGCAAGGGAAAAGGAGGCCAATTTAACGGAGCCCTGTGGCGACGTGGAAGCAGGTACCTGCACCAGCACCCAACAAGCCTGACCTCCCTTGCTGGTGGGCTGGGTGGCCCGGGCCTAGGGCAGAGGGATGGAGATGCAGAGCCTGGCCCGTACTCAGGAGGTGAAGCGGCCTGTCCTGGACAGAGAGCACTGGAGTTGGAGTCAGAAACCCAGTTCTGCCTCAGCTTCAGGGATCATTTCTCTCCTCTGCTTTCTCTGTTGGTGAGGCAAGAAGCTTGGGCCAGCCAGGTAAAATATAGATTAGAATAGAATAGAAGAGAAGAGAAGAGAAGAGAATACTTATATTTTATTGGTTCTTTTTATTATATATTTTATTACATATTTTATTTTATTATATACTATATTCTATATAATCACATGATTTATATCACATATTATTTATAAGTTATATTATATATGATAATAATCGTATTATTTATAATATATATGATTGCAGGTAGTATATGTAATATACATTATTATATGATATATGATATTATATTGGTGCTCTCTGCTTTAAATTCTGTTTTTTATTCTATGTCAGTTTCTTCTGAGCCCCTTGGCCCCGGCCCAGCTTCTGGTCTTGGGGAACAACTCACGCAGGGAGGCCCCCACCCACCACACGAAACCTAGCGGCCGTCTTGCTCTCCCGGGGGAGGCTGGCCCCCTGGGAGGGAAACACAACTCCTAAACACAACACAACTCCGAAAGACCTGCAGGTCATGCAGGACTTTCCTTTCTGGGTGGGTGCGGAGAGGACCACACATGACCCGGAAAGCCGCCTCAAGGCCCTTCTCCCCCACCTACTTCCCCAAGGCTCCCAAGGGGCAGGGGCCGTGCCTCCCAGTCCCCGCCTCCGGCAGTCCCGCATGCCCCTCCCAACAGCCCCCCTTCCCCGCACTTCCTCGCTCCGCCCCTCTGGCCGCTAGGTCTTTATTTAGCAGGGCGCCGATCTTTCTTACGTAAGGTGTGTCCCTGGGTTTCCTCTGCCCCGTGAGCCGGATTGGACTAGCTCCGCTGCCCCCGGAAAGCAGGGAAAGAGGCAGGCCGGGGACCTCAGTACTTGTGCCCTCTCACGGGTGCTCAAGCCAGCAAGGGGCAGGCTCCAGCAGCGACAGCGTGCACCTGCTCCGCCCTGCCTCCTCCTACCCCCGCAGCCCCGCCTCCGGCCCTCCCCCCGCCTCGGGCCCCCCCCCCCCCGCCTCGGGCCCCCCCCTTCCTCCGGTCCCCCTACCTCCGGCCCCTTCGAAAGGGAGGAACTCAGGGTTATCCGGGCTTGGTCGTTTCAGTCCTGACTGCCCCGAGCTCGCTAGCGGGCAGCAGGCCTGGGTTCTGGACCGTCCTGGCTTCTCACTGTGTGACTCGGACAGGTCCTTTCCCAGAGGCCTGCATTTTTCCCATCTGCAGAATGTGAGGGCATTAGGCCAGAATGGTCATTCTCCGAATGGGGTCGCAGGAGTAGTCTCAGCAGCACCTGGGAGCTCCTTAGAAATGCAGCTTCTCAGGCCCCTCCTTGGATCCACTGAATCAGAAACACCAGGGGTTGGGATTCCAGCAATCTGTTTTAACACATCCTCCAGGTGATCCGTGTTTGAAAACCACCGCCCTAGCAGAAATCTGTGGTGGGCACCATGAGGAGCTG